GAGTGGCGAAAATAACAATAGTTTGCTATAGGGTACAATTAAATTAAAGTATATTTATAGCATTTAATTTGAATTAATAGTTTGCGAAAGTATATATGTATATATTTCAATTTGAATATAAAAAAAAGAATTGACTATCTTCGGGAGTTAATTAAGTCAAAACCAAAATCAAATATAATGTTAATCAACAATAATAAATAAAGAGTAAGGAAATAAATATCAAATTTGGGCCAAATTCCCAAATCTTGAACCTGTCCTAAGTCTAAAGTTGTCAAAATAGGTCTAGCCCATTTAAATCCCCAAAAAAAAGTTGTTGGTACTCATTTTTTATTGGGCCTTTGGGCCCATTTTCTGCTGCTTTACTTCATTGGGATTTTGGGCCCATTTTGGCTTGGACCTGCTGTAGCAAATAGAATTTGGGTTTTAACCCATTTCTCCTCTGAAAACCTACACATATACTGAGTGTATACTCATGTATATAGGTTGTATACTGGCATGTTTTCCTGTATATCATCCCATACACTAAATGTATACAATTTATTTTATCTCCCAAACACCTGTAATCTTGCTTTTAGCCATGTATACACAGCTCTTTGACCTGTATAGTGTTGTATACTAGTGTATATCAGCCTGTTTTCAGCTTTTCGAAACCTATAATTTAAGTTTCTAGCCTTATTTGTTGCCTTCGACCTGTTCACCTGCTTCTCTACTGGCAATGAGGCTGACTCGAGAGAGAAACAACTGGATTTGGGCATTTACGGCCTCTCCGAAATATGGGGGAAGAAGATAGGAGTCCAAGAGGACTCGGATAGTATTACATGCAACAAAAAAAGATGACAAGGATTAGTACTCAAACAATACATCTCAAAACTGTAAATCTAAATGACAAAGAGGATCGATCACTTACAACAACACTCACATAGTGAATACAACTTAACAATCCTCAAACTAAAGTAAGACAAATTAATTAAGTTGGGCAGCAAAACAGAACAAAGAGCAGTGACAATGAGTTCAAAATCAAGCAATGAATAAGACTTTCAAGCTAAAAGTAGATACTGGACAAATCTAATGATTTTTCATGAGACACACCAACAAGTAATCAAGAAAATCGACAATTCAATAATATCGAACAAAAAAAGATAGAAGAAATGACGCCATGCTGAGACAAAGATTTTCATGCTTAGGATACCAATTTTTATCATTTGAAAACAAACAGTTTTCAAATAAGTATACAAAATAAAGCACCCATCTACACCTATCTAGAACATATGAATAAGGTAATTAGAAAGTATTTAACTCCAAATTATGACTAAACCCAATATTTGTGACCTCTAAGAAGACAAAAGAAACCTTCTGTATTAGCAAGAAGAAAAAGAAAACATTTGTTCCTTACCTTATGGCATAACAGAGACAAGAATAAATTCAATACGAAAGAAAATGACAAATTTCACATTAAACTATCAAAAATCTAAACACAAGGAGATTCCTAAACATATGCATGTATAAAGACAGTAAAATTCAAAAGGAGAGTAATCATAGTCATAGCAAAATCAACTCACATTATGAACAAGTGACTAATAAATAATCATATTTCAAAAATATAAAGAGATAGAGAGAGCAGAAAAATTTTATGGTGGGAGAGGCCCAAGTATGACTTGGTGTGTGAGGGATTATTTTTGAATAAAAAAATATGTAGGTCCCACTTTTTCCATTCAATATTGTTGTTTTTCTCTCCTATCTTATTTAATTTTATGAATAAAAAATTATGTGGGTCCTATTCTTTTATTTTACATTGTTATTTCTCTTTTCCATACATTTTACTCCACATCCGTTTACTTGTCCATTTCTTTTCTTTTCCCCTTTTTAAAAAAGTTCTTCTTTAATTCTTCTTTCCTACATATTTCAGATCAATTTTCACTTATTAATTTTATTTATTCATTTTTTTATATCATTCGTATATCTATCTTTTTTCGTATTTGATAATTAACAAGTATATCATTTTTTAATTTTTTAAATTACATAAAAATATGAGAAGAAAAAATGGTGGAGAAAATTAAGAAATGAAGAATAAAACCTTCGTTTACAAAATAAAAGTCTAGATAGTAATTCGACTAAACTATTAATATCCCTCATTTGGCACATGTATATAAGCATGATTGATCAATTTTTCACTTTATCAAATTGAATTATTTCATCAATTTTTATATTAATAAACCGTACCAAATTAATAAAAATAGGTTTTTCAATTTTCTTTATTTTTTTAGCTTGATTTGAAACATTTTACAATAAAATGAATTTTATTTTTATGAAATAAAATTATTAAAACAAATTTTATTTTGTACAATTATTATTTATTTAATATAACTCATTGTAAACAGTTATATAAAAAAACTATCAACCATAATGCCACAAATAGGGAAAATATATTATATATATTTTTTCTCATATTCTCGAATTTTTTTTTTTTAAAACAAGTAAACGGATGTGGAGTAAAATGTATGGAAAAGAGAAATAACAATGTAAAATAAAAGAATAGGACCCACATAAATTTTTATTTATAAAATTAAATAAGACAAGAGAGAGAAACAACAATATTAAATAGAAAAGGTGGGACCTACACATTTTTTTATTCAAAAATAATCCTCACACACCAAGTCATACTTGGGCCTCTCCCACCATAAAATTTTTCAGAGAGAGCATGGTGCATACTAGACGAACATCATACTTCACGAGTTGAACCAAATAGTAAAGAATCAACTAAAAGAAATTCAGCTAAGCCATTATCGATTCCACTCAATTCCAATCATAAAGAAAATACCAAGACATATTTGAGAAAGCATAAACAGAAAAACACAACAACCAAAAATCAAACGAAACAAACCATGAGAAAGATTTTTACCTCTTTCCAGGCAGCGAATTGAGACGGGAACGAGCTAGCTACGAGGGCGATTCCACCACCAACAAATGAAACTTCAATGATTTCGATAAACCCCCGCAACCCACAAACATGAACCTAAAATGTATACTAAGTGTATTTCTCTTGCGACTCATTGTAATTTGGTTTCTTTTCTTATAAAAGATGTGCCTCTCATCTATCTTTTTCTATATTTTCCCCTTTGTTTCTTGTCAAATTTTTTCCAACCTTCTTCCCACCCTAAAATAATGAAAAAGATGGGATTTATATAAAGGAGGATTGGGGTTGAAAAAGGGGAGAAATTGGAACCATTTTGAATTTGAAATTCAAATTCTTCTTAAGGAGAACGTTGGGGGGGAAATAAAATTTTGTTTTAGGGAGGGGGGGGGGGGGGGGGGGGGACTGAAAATTGATAGGAGCCGCACGATTTCGAGCAAGGACAAAGAACACATGAGATTGCAACATCTGGCTAATTCGAGTACATTGCTCGTACGAGAGGACAAGAAGAGAGGGACGTGCGCGAGCTGGCGTTCGCTGGACTCGGGTCACGATTTCGCTGTTGTATTTCATTCTGGATTGTTCGCGACTGGTTCTAGGTTTCTCCTGCTGGTGTTCGCGAGGAAGAAGAAAAACGCGTGGGTTCTGGGTCGTTTTTGTACGCGTACACTGGGTCTTGTTGTTGTTATTATGGGCTGGGTTTTTGGATCGTTGTAATGTTGTTGTTATTATGGGCTGGGTTTTTGGATCGTTGTAATGTTGTTGTATTGTAATGGGTCTTTTGGTGTGGAATAATGGAAATGGGCTGGCAATTGTTTTGAGACTAGGCTGCTGAAAAGAGGTGAAAAAAAGGACCAAAATTGGTCTCCAAATGGGTTTAAGGTGAGGTCAAAGATGAGTTAGATCTTGGAGTTTAAGAAATAACCAAATTGAGTTAAATTAACAAATTCGGCTAAACCTTAAATAAGATGAATTAATATTAATTAATTAAAGAGCTTCTTAATCTTAACGAAATAAAATAATTAACTTAATTGTAAACTAATGATTCAAAATTATAACCATAATTTAAACTAAACTAATTTAATAAAATACTTACTACAATTTAAAAAATTTTGAGATGATTTTTGAAATATTTATAAAATATACTAATTATATACAAAATTATATTAAAAAAAAAATATTACTTAAAAATCATAAAAGTGACTAAAACTACTTTAAAATAACTTGAAAAAATATTTTGAATGTTATAAAACTAATTATTTCAAATCGTTCGAAATTGAAGAAACTCGATGATTAATATATATTGTGGAGGTTCAAAATTGGGTGTCAACAATAATGATGATACATTATTGTAGTAAACCTGATACAAGTATGATTTGATGAATATTTACTGGTTAATATTTTTTTTAATCTTTTTGTCAATGTAAGATTACTATAAAGTATCAGATTCATTTCACCTTATGGTAATATATAATAATGATGATACACTATTGCAGTCAACTTGATGTATCAATATAGTAATTTTTTGATAATGTATCCTTGTGTAAAGAATCTATCTATTGTTTTAATGTATCAGTTATGCATTCTACTAATGTATCTGAAAAAATGGAGCTACAAATTATTATGTTTATCGGATGACTGTTGTTGGAGATTGAGTGCATCTGTTAGGAAGAAATCGAATTTAGTCAAAGTGAGGTATTTCAATAGTGAGCATACATGTCTGATAAGGGATAGGCTATTAACGAAAGTTCAAGCTACAGTTGGGTTTATAAGTGCAGTGACAACTCCTAAACTGCACAATCATAAAAGAATTCATACACTAAATGATATTATTGAAGATATTAAAGCACTATATGAGATTGATATTGCATACCAGCAAGTATGGCGTGCTAAGGAGCGTTCATTAGAGATGATAAAGGGTAAATCTGCAAATAGATATAGACCGTTGCCTAAATATCTATATATGTTGGATACTGTGTATCCAAATTCTTATATACGGATACATAAGTCGGAGGAAAATAAGTTCATGTATCTGTTCATATCATTAAGGCCACTAATGAGGGGGTTTGACTACTGTAGACCAGTAGTTGTTGTTGACGGTGCACATCTTGGTGAAGTTTACAAAAGAACTTTTGTATCAGCAAGTACGCTTGATGGTGCAGGTATGATTTCTGTATTAGAATTTATAATATTTTATCTCATAACAATGGTTACTTGATTTTGATACTTTATATATGGATAGTTGTGTTCTAGAAATTAACAAACCTGCGCACTATTTATGAGTAGGATGCATATTGTCGTTAGCTTATGGAGTGGTGGACAGTAAAAATGATTGTTCATGGACATGTTCTTCTAACAGTTTAAAAGTGAATTTGGGGAGAGGGAACAAATGTGTGTTGTATCAGATAGAAATGAAAGCATAATTAATAGTGTCAGAACTGTTTTTCCAAATGTTTCTCATTTTGCATGCATATGGCACCTTTGGAAAAATGTTTGTTCAAGCTTTAAGAGAAGCAAAAGCATACTAAGTGATGTGTTCTATTCAATGGCCAAGGCTTATAGAAAAGAGGATTTTGACAAATTGATAGCTAAAGTCGTTAAAATTGACAATCGGGTTAAGATGTATCTTGAGGATGTTGGTTATGAAAAGTGGTCAAGAGTTCATGCAACAGTAAACAGGGGGAGAATGATGACTTCTAACATAACGGAATGTATCAATGGTTGCCTTGTTGAGCAAAAATTATCAGAGCATGAAAAGAGTGTCAAAGTATCAGCTCCAACCAGAAGTAATGAAAATGAATGAATTCGTTTGTTTATTAATTAATGAATCTGATACATATCATTAGTAAAGTGTGGAAGTTTCAGCTCCTACCAAAAGTAATGAGCATTAATGCTGGTGAAAAATTAAAGAATCTGATACATAAATGTTATCCAATTTTTGTATCAAATATATATGACAAGCGTGTACATCAATGTAGTTCATATATAACAAGTGAAAAAATTGAAAGTTGATGTCAAACTAAACAAGTTTTAAGATAAACTGTAATGATTGGGTACAAACATCTGAAAACAACAAAAACCATAAAAGTTTAAAGCTAGAGTTAATGTATCTAAAAAATGATAACACTGTAAAAAAGTGTCTAAGATCTAATAAACATTGACCACATCTTCTTGAGCTGGTTCTGTGGAATGACTTCTAGGCCTTGTGGGATCATCGTTTTCACTAACGTATCCTGCCTTAGCCTTTTCAGTACCGTATTTTCATCATAGGGATCCATATCGTGTATGGAGGTATTCTGAATGGAAATCAATTTTGAGAACAGGGATCCCATCGCTGAGGTACTCAGCATAGACAACTATAAACATTCCGCAATCCCTTCAAAAAAATGAGGAATATACATTATAAAGAGAAAGAAGATACATTGTAATTTAAATAAAAAACATGCTAATACTTACAAGCTATCGCTTCTTTGTTGCATAATTTCTTGTACAAATTCAACTTGAAATACGTCCTCTGATCCCAAAAACATGCCAGTTTGACTGTCCTTGTAAGCATCCAATGATGACCAGTCTATTCGCTCAGTTTGATTAAAAAAAAACCATTGTCATGAAGGTAAGATGACAACATCATTGCCAATTTTTTTATCTCACCAGACGGCACTTTTATTCTTGTACTCATTGATGAATCGTAGACGTGTATGAGCCTCTCTTTTAAAACAACAACAACCAACACCCAATGGAACTCACCATCTGAGTTCACCGAAATATATACATCATCAACTAGATGCCACGGTAATCTAGTCGGGATGAAAAATTCTTTGATTATGTTTTTAATTGACCTCTCGAATGCAGATTCAACAGCCCCACGCGCCATATGCTATTGCGTAGTTAAATTATCATCATAAGGGCTGCAGTAGTACCTATTGTGTGCATCATTAATAAATGTCTTGAATAAGCAATTGACAGTGGTGAATCAGTATTGATTAGGGCTGCGTAGTTTTGACTTCTTCCTTATGTAATACAAATATACATCAATGTGCTGCAACATAAATTAAAAATAACACAAAATGTTAGACAATATGATAAAGCACAACAATCACAATTTCAAAATAATGTATATGATATGATTTTGTATCATCTACACTTTCAAATAATGTATATGATACAAAATACGCATGTATCAAAGATATATTAATAATGTATCTTTCTATCGTAGCTCATCTGTCCAATATTTTTTTGACTGAGATATGATATAAAATCAATTTTTATCCCTGGAAAAGGCAACTATAAAGTCCATGTGTTCAAATCCAAATAAAGCTGATTTGGCTCTGTATTTATCATCCATTGGTTTCCTATATATTTATATATAGATTCATATATATTACAATTCTAAACAAGTGAAAACAGTATGATATTTTACTATATGAAAATATTAAATTGTTACTCAATTGTTGGCATGAGTTTTAAGGAGGCCTATAGAAATTCACTTGGAATATTCGTCCAATAAATTTGTCGAAGGTTGGTAAGAAATATCAAATCCATCAAATGGGGAGATCGAACGAACTTCTTCTTCAACTGTCTGTTTTCCTTTGTCACTAAAACCAAATTCAGTCAAATATGGTGATTGAAGAATTTTTTATGACATTCGATTTCGTTGAAAAGGGGTCTGTGATAGTTGATACACGATCATCTCATTACCCAATATTTTCGTGGATAATTTACTGTCAGGTACAGATTGATGTGTATCATTTAATGAATGTGACTTGACAACACTCAATGGTTGAACACACAAAGAAGTTTGAAGGCCTGCAATAAGTACATTTATAGCTTCTTGGGTTCCAGCAGAAATGGATGTCAATGTGGTAGAATCCTATATTTTTAAATCAATAATAAGAAAATTGTATCATTCAATAACCAACAAACAATTGAAGAAAATATTTAAAATCTACCGATGTATCAATGTTTACTGAAACTTTGTCTGAAAGTGGGATGTTATGTTATGATTTCTCAGTAACATCTTGAACCACATATGATTGTTCCGTTTTTTTTGTGCCAAACTCTACTACATCATCCTGATAAGTAGCACGATTTTTTTTGTTATAAAGCTACAATAAATGATAAAAAAAATTATACGTAAAATTATACTTACAAGAACTTCCTTGGATACATTCTCCCCAGTTCTTTGATCCTTAATTGTATCAACAAAATATGAATATTACTACTTAAGTCAAAAACTAATGTATCAAAAATGGAACAAATACTACATTATATGTGAATGATACATTAGATGAATAAACTAATATATTTATACATAAACGTGTACTTTACAACTTCATTGGATACATCCTCACCAACTTGTGGATCCTTTGATGTATCAGCAAACTATGAAAAATAGTAAATAATTCAAACAATAATGTATCAAAATCAATAACTTATACTACATCATTAATGAATGATACATTAAATGATTAAACTATGTCATATACATAAACTTAAACTTACAAAAACTTTCTTAGATACATTTCCTGCAACAGGAACATCTACTGTAGATGGTGGTTCTGATACATCATCATTGCCTCTTTTATCCTTTAATGTATCATCATCTTATGTTGATTAGAATATCAATCAAATAATGATGATTCAACAATTGAAACTAATCTTACATTTGAAGTTTAAACATAATGTAACTACTACACTTATTAATGTTTCACAAATTCCTGGCCGTAATTGTATCATTACAATAATGTAACAGCTGGTGTTAGATACTTTATTGAATATTAGATACTTTAATGAATGTATCTGATTCTTACCTCTAAGACCTCATGTTGATGTACATGTGTATTTTCTTCATCCTCTACATCAGGGTTATCAACGAGGACGTTGTTGACAAACTCCATATCAATTGGAGAACTTGGTTCAACAAATTGATTAGTAGTTTGGGGTTGATTCACAGTTTCTTCTTCAATTACCTCTTCATCCGAGATTGAAAGTGATCTGGCGGCAGTTTTCTTCAAGCCAAAAAAATACAATATAATTAGAATAATAGCTTTACAAATAGTAAAAATTTAGTAAATAACAACTACCTTCCGTTTTAGCTTCCGGATTGCTTTCAACAGAACTTTGTGATTATTTTTCATTAAGACTTGAAGATCATCAATCTTTTTGTCCACCTATAAAAATACGTAAATAAGTTAATAATGATTTACTGTAGAACAACTGAGAATTCAATAATAATTATGAGAATAACTTACATATTCCGTCAGATATTGCTTAACTCCTTCGATTTCTGAAAAATCTTTCTTTTCTTTAGGATGAGATGAAGGATCAACTGAATCTGGAATAGAGAATGAATCTTTTAGTATCACGGGGGACTGCTCTGATTGTTCCATTGCAATACTTTTATTTTGGTCAAAACATCTTTCTTTCTTCTCTTCGGGGGATGGGGTGTAGATGATGCACCAGATACATGTCTACTCCTCCTTACAATCTGATCCGGTGGTTTAGAGGAGAAATCCTCAAACCCAGGAATGTCATCTGATATAGCTTATGTAGGTTAATCAGCAAACATAAAATGTTCGGAATAAGAGACAATCAGATTGTTCGGCTAATCAAGTACAATCAATTCCTCACGAGTCGGTTGTATATTGGTACATGCATTCTAAAACAAATTTGTAAAGTCAGCATACCAAAAATAATTGAAACTTGAAATATATAAAAATGGTCGCTACCTCAGTAAAAAATACTAGACATAAACATTTCAAATTTAGGCTTGACACCAATAACTCGCCAATTTAGTATCCTTGGGATGTAGTCTCCCTCCTTGACAACAATTTTCTCATTGACAACTGATGCACATTCATACACCCAGACATTTAGAGCATAGGGCATGCCACTTAAACAATACAACTGTTTTACTTTGGTTCTCTCTTGCCTCCATGAGATCATTAACCTGATAAAGGTTGTCCCAAGGAAAATGTTCATATGTACCATCTTCGACCATCAGGAAGTCGTTAATAGGGATAGGTGCTTCATGTAGTTGTGAGAGAACAAATGAGTTGGTGAAGTAGATAATTCCCATTTGGTAAGCATCCTGAGTGTTGTCCTAATTACCTTGAAGAAAACATTGAACAAGTCGTCCCTTGCTCACACTATTAGACTTTACCAAATCAAGAAAGTATTTTTGAATAAGGCTGCTCTTAGAGGAATTCAGTTATTGAAAGTCATTGGGATTTCCAGTGCATTTCATTCGGTTAGTATTGCAAATTCCTTTATAGTGAAGCGCAAAATGTTTTCATTGGCATGCCGAATATGGAGCTCATTGCTGTTATCCTGATTAATCTCAAGAAGAAACAAGCATTTTGATAGTTGCAGGTATGAATGTCGAGATATGGCCCAAAAATAAAATTTGTAAACAACTCGACAACCTCGACATTCATGTACTTTTTCAAATCTTCTACAAAATCATTGTTGTATGTTGGACCAAACTTCAAACAGTGGGTTGGGATTTGTTTGATAACATACTTCATAGACTGTAATGATCCAAAAAATAATAGAATATTATGTAAAAAATAATGTATTTGTAAATAATGTATCTCATATGTAACTGATACAATATTTACTATGAAACTACAAATACCAGATACACACGGATAAACAAAACTTGAATTATACATTATTGATTGAGATCTACTGAGAGATGCATAACCACTAATGTTATAATAGTTGAAACAAAATATATTATAACTTGACTTACTTAGGGTTAGTGTACCAATTGATTATAGATAATAATGATACATTAAAATA